TGAAACCTAGCTTCCTAACAAATGATAGCCATAAGCTAGCAGTAGGCTAGCCCCAAATTTAAAACAGAAGCGGCTGTGAAAGTCTGACTCACAGACAAACCCAATACAGAAGCCTGATGATGGCAGATGAGATTCTGCCGAAACGTTGCTACAACTTTAAAAGCACAACTATAATGAAGTGGGAAAATACCCGAACAAAGCTGAATACCATACACACACACACACACACACACACACACACACACACACAAATATATACTTATTTTTTTTACGTATATGTATCCATTTTATGTATTCATAACTATGTTTATACTTATACCTCTTACCTTACAATTGCTTGACAATATATATGTGTGTATGTGTGTGTGTGTGAATGTATACACACACACAGGCACATACTCACACACATACACACACCCATTTTCTGATCTTTCTTACCCCCCGTGGTTAAACAAACCATACTGCAGCTGTTAAGTGAGTCACACGGTCATTAAGTGAATCTGATTTGCCCCTTTCGACTTTGCTCATCAGAAAGTCTTAAAAAAAGGGATCAGGCGACCGTCATAAATATGAGTCAGGTCAACAACGGAGCCTTCCTATTATGGTCCTATGTCAAGGACTCCATTGAGAAACATGTTGGTCCCCGCCTCACGACCGTTGTTCTTTTAGCGACCATTCAAAGTGAAACTGAAAAAGATAAGCGTCCTCGCAGTTACGACAGTTGGGCTGCTTGACAGCCGACGTGTATTTTCCGACGGTCGTAGCCTCCCGGGGGGGGAGGGGCCATCCCGTGATCACCATTTGTGACCTTCCCGGCCAGCTTCTCACAAGCAAAGTCAACGGGAGGGGAGCTGGATTCACTTAACGACCGGAGCGGTTCACTTAATGGCCGTGGCAAAAAAAAAAAAGAGAAAGATCATAAAACGAGGCGAAGCTCGCTGAAGTGCCGCCCTGCTTAGCCGTGGGAAATTCTACTCCCGATTGTCATCATAAGTCGAGGACTAGGGGAATATCGGCAAGGATTTATTTTCCCAGCAGCCGGTGAACCTTTTCCCTCTTCTTTTTTTTGACAAATGCTTCCCAGGGGATAATTAATCCCTGCAATCAGGGGAAGCTAATTGATCTCTAATTAAGATCCTTACTCAGTGGAGCCCCTTCCCCCCCCATGGGATAGTCTGACGTTCCCCTGTTCAGTTTTATGTCCGTCGCATCTCTGGGGACCTGCGATCCAGAACCAGCCACGAGGCTGAGAATCTCCTTCCCTTCCTGATGCTTTTGAACCCAGGAAAAAGAAGGGGGGGGAAACTTTTATTTCTTTTCTCTGGCCTGGTTTGAGCAGGAGTGACAATGTCACACACAACCTGGTGTGAGAATCTGGGTGTAATTTAATTTCCTTTGTTGAATTAATTGCTCAGGGAAAATATAGGAATGATCCTGAAATTGTCCGGCTATGGAAGAGAGGAGAAAAAAAAAAAGCCTTTGTCCTCCAGTTCTCTTGTTTCTCCTTCCTTCCTTCCTTCCTTCCTTCCTTCCTTCCTTCCTTCCTTCCTTCCTTCCTTCTTTCCTTTTCTTTTCTTTTCATTCCCAGCACCTACCTTCCTTCCTTCCTTCCTTCCTTCCTTCCTTCCTTTGCTCCCATTTCCTTTGCTCCCATTTCCTTTTCTTTCTGTTCTTTCTTTCCTTCCTTTTTCTATCTTCCTCCCTTTCATTTCTCCCCTTTCCTTTCTTTCCTTTCCTTCTCCTTCTTCCCTTCCTCCCTTTCTTGGCTCCCATTTCCTTCCTTTCCTTTCCTTAATTCCTCCCCTCACTCCCCTTTCCTTTCCTCCCTTCCTTTTCCTTCCTTTCCACCCTCCCTCTCCTCCCCTCCTGCCTCCCTCCCTCCCCAGGAGCTGTCCTCCCCCACCGCCCCCCCCTCCCTCAGGGTGGGGGAGGGGGGGAGAGCATCTTCTCACCTGGCTGTAAACAAAGTAGAGGCCGGTTTTCCTGACCACCACCTCTTGCCCGCTGGGCTCCAGCGCTCGCCCCTGTTGCAGGAAAGGCGTCCACCAGATCTCTGTGGCATCGCCCTCCTCTGTGGGGGGAAGAGGGGGGGGGGAGAAGACGGGGTCAGATTGGAAGACCTCCCCTGCCCCCGACCCCGACCCAGCCCTGCCTGCCTTTGTCCTGGGCCTTGAGCAGGGCAGGCAGAAACCCAACAGGTGAGGCTCGGCCCTGACCCAAGAGAGAGCTTCACCTGGGCCCCTTCCTGCCCCGTTTTCCCACACACACACCCCGGCACTCCATACCAAAATATTTTCATTTGATTCCTTTCATTTCTCTGTCCATCCTCCCCTCGACCCCCATACCCCTCCCGGCAGCCAAAGACTAACCAAGGCTAATCCTTCCCTGATGACTTGTATGCTACACAAGTCAAAAAGAGGTCTGTGAAAATATTTACACACCCCTCACATCCCGGACATAAACTGATTCAACTCCTGCCCTCAAAACGACGCTATAGAGCATTACACAACACAACAACTAGACGCAAGGACAGTTTTTTCCCGAACGCCCTCACTCCGCTAAACAAATAATTCCCTCAACACTGTCCAACTGTTTGCTAATTACTATTATTTTTACTAATCCTCCCATCCTCCCTTCCACCCGTCTCCTCCCACTTAGGACTGGATGACCGTAACCGCGTCACTTGTATCCTTATGATTTTTTAAAAAAATGGACTGTTTCCTGGTATAACTCGATTTGATCGCTTATTATTATGTTTCCTAGTATGATTTGATTGCGTATTTGTATCCCTTGACTATTAAGCGTTATACCTATGATTCTTGATGAATGTATTTTTTTTGTCTTCTTATGTAACACTGAGAGCTTGTGCACCAAAAACAAATTCCTTGTGTGTCTAATCACACTTGGCCAATAAAAAATTCAATTCAATTCAATTCTATTCTATTATTTCTATTCTATTCTATTTTATTCTATTCTATTCTTGTTTCTATTCTATTCTAATTCTGTTCTATTATTTCTATTCTATTCTATTCTAATTCTATTCTATTCTTATTTCTCTTCTCTTCTTATTTCTCTTCTATTCTTATTTCTCTTCTATTCTTATTTTCATTCTATTCCATTCTATTCTTATTTCTAGTCTATTCATTTCTATTCTTATTTCTATTCTATTCTTATTTCTATCCTATTCTTATTTCCATTCTATTCTTATTTCCATTCTATTCCATTCTATTCTTATTTCTATTCTATT